CGGACCCTCTGCTCGAGCGGCCATGCACCGCACATGCGGTCATACCCCTGCGCTCGAGCGGCCGTAGATAGTAGCCATCTCCAAGTTTTTCTTCTTTCTCCGCTCGAGCGTCCAAGGCCTCCGCTCGAGTGGCCATGGCCCTGTTTTGGGGCAGCTCGGTTTCAACTCACAATTACACATCACCATATCATTTTACATGCAATTCACTATGAAATTCATGCAATATATGGACCCAACTTCACTATAACATGAATTACCATTTGAATATCACAAAGTAACATGATTCAAAGCTTGATCAAATCACTATTTATTTTTTTTCCAAATTCCATCCTTTAACTTAAGTTATTTATGTTCATAAATCATAACACATGGTACATGGCATAAAACCAAGGATTCAAGTATAAATTTCACCATAGCATGTAGTAGAACTTGAGCATCCTAAGATACGCATAAGAAGAAGCTTATTCAAGTTACAAACCTTCTAAATTCCATCTTTAATTCAAGTTCCTTAAGTTTATTAAAACATCACACATTACATAAATATATTTTCATGAGTTTAACAAGAGAAACAAAGATTGAGGCATAATTTCATGTCAAAACAACCAATTGATGAGTATCCTCTTCAAGCAAACATAAATCATGAACAATTCTCCATAACCCTAAATCACCAAACATAAATCATAAACAAGCCCTTCTTCACAATTAAAAGGAGAAGTTTCATGTACAATAATTTTTAATATACCTTAAGCTTGAAAAATTCAATGATTCTCCTAACTTGATCCCAATTCTCTTCCTTGTTGTGCCTTGTCTTTGTTCTCTTTTTCTCTTCTTTTCAAACCCTTATTCTCTCCAAAAGATACTTCACGTTTTTTATCAAAGCTCAAGAGAACTTAAGTATATATATTTATAAATAATGACATATAGGACAAAATTTAATCATTTAATCATTCCAAAATTGAAATTTCGTAAACATGCTTAATATTACTTTAAAATTATGCTGATCACAAATATATTATCAATTTCAGATAATTAAGCCGTTATGGCTTCCAATTTCTAATTCAAACGTTTTAGTGGTGACAGATAGTTTTCTTAAGAAACAGATAGGATCCATAAACATAAATTTCACTTTTAAGCCGTTAAGGCTTCCAATTTCTAATTCAAACGTTTTAGTGGTGACAAATAGTTTTCTTAAGAAACAGATAGGCATCCATAAGCATAAAATTCACTTGCTTAATCATAATTTTTCATGGAATTTTACAGTAAGCATTTAAAAGTACCAATCGAGGACCGAGAATATAACAGAAATCGTGTGCGAGGGTCGGGTTATTACACTATCTCCCCCTTTAATAAGTTTGGTCCTCCAAACTTGTTTTACCTTAGGATTGAAACAAATGTGGGTATTGGTGTTGCATTTCCTCCTCTCTTTCCCACGTTGCGTCAGTTGCGTAATGTTCTTGCCATTCTACTTTTACCATTGGAATTTCTCGGTTTCGTAAGTGTTTCACTTGTCGGTCCAAAATGCTGATTGGTTTTTCCTCATAAATGAGCTTGTCCTCCAACTCAATTTGGTGGTGATCAATGACATGTGACGGATCCGGAAGGTATCCGAGAAGCATAGAAACATGAAACGCATTATGTACTTGACTCATATGTGGCGGAAGGGCAACCCGGTAAGCTACCGGACCTACTCTTTCCAGAATTTGAAAGGAACCAACATAACGGGGTGTTAACTTATCCCTTTTTCCAAATCTTGGATGGCCTTTCATCGGAGTAACTTTTATAAAAACGTGACTGTCCACTTCAAATTCCAAATCTCTCCGTCGGTTATCCGCATAACTTTTTTGTCTACTTTGAGCTGTTTTTAATCTTTCCCGAATAACTTTGATTTTTTCAGTTGTTAGCTGAACAATTTCAGGCCCTAGAATTTCAGGCCCTAACAAGGATTTGTCCCCAACTTCAGCCCAACACACGGGAGAACGACATGGTCTTCCATACAAAGCTTCATAGGGTGCTATATTTATACTCGCATGGTAGCTGTTACTGTACGCAAATTCTACCAACGGTAGGTGGGTTTCCCAACTTTCTTGAAAATCTAGCACACACATTTGGAGCATATCCTCTAGAGTCTGTATCGTTCTCTCGGATTGACCGTCGGTCTGGGGATGGAAAGCTGTGCTGAACTTTAATTCGGTACCCATTGCTTCTTGTAAACTTTTCCAGAATCTGGAAACAAACTTTGAATCCCTATCTGACACAATTGAGACCGGAACACCATGAAGTCTCACAATTTCATTCACATAAATTGCCACCAATTTGTCCGCGCTATACTGAGTCTTTACTGGTAGGAAGTGAGCAGATTTAGTTAATCAGTCTACAATAACCCATATTGAATTCATACCTCGGGGAGTCCGTGGTAACCCCACAACAAAGTCCATGGTCAAATGTTCCCATTTCCACTCCGGGATGGGAAGAGGTTGCAACAAACCGGCAGGTCTTTGATGCTCCACTTTTACTTGCTGGCATTGCAAACACTTAGAGACAAACTCCGCGACCTCCTTCTTCATACTTGGCCACCAAAAATTTCGCTTCAAATCTCGGTGCATTTTGGTACTCCCTAGATGCATTGAAAACCTTGAGGTATGTGCGTCTTCCATCAACTTTTGCTTAAGGTTTAACACATTGGGGACATATATTCGGTTTTGAAATTTGAGCACTGAGTCTACCAAACTGAATCCCGATTTTGATTTTGTTCCTAACTCATCACATATCCTCTTTAAAGCTTCATCTTCTATCTGATGCAATTTAATTTCCTCAAGTAAGGTTGGTTGGGCCATCACTACTGCCATTAAAGCTTCCTGTCCATGTAGCACCAAGTCTACTTCCATGTTATCCAATTCAATTGCTAATTCCTTTTGCCTTGTAACTAAACTTGCCAAAGTCCCCATACTTTTCCGACTGAGCGCATCTGCAACTGTGTTGGCTTTACCAGGATGATAATGAATCTGCAAATCATAATCTTTAAGAAGTTCCAACCACCGTCGCTACTGCATATTCAACTCTTTTTGAGTAAAAAGGTACTTGAGACTCTTGTGGTCAGTATATACTTCGCAAATGGTGCCATACAAATAGTGTCTCCTTATCTTCAAAGCAAAAACTACTACTACCAGCTCAAGATCATGCGTGGGATAATTCTTCTCGTAGGGTTTCAACTACCAAGAAGCATAAGCGATGACTCTACCATTTTGCATCAGTACACAACCAAGCCCTTTGTGCGAAGCATCACCGTAGATTACAAATCCCTTTGTACCGGATGGTAAGGCCAAAACTGGTGCTGTTGTCAACCTTGTCTTCAATTCCTGAAAAGTAGATTCTCGCTCTTCTGACCATTTGAATGCAACTCCCTTTTGAGTCAGTTGTGTAAGTGGCACAACAATTTTAGAAAAATCTTGAACAAATCTCCGGTAATAACCAGCTAACCCCATAAAACTACGCACCTCAGTCACATTAGTAGGAGTTGGCCAATTTATGATTGCCTCAATCTTGTGTGGGTCAACAGAAACTCCTTCCTTTGTGATGATATGCCGCAGAAATGCCACCTCTAGTAGCCAGAATTCACATTTCTTCAGCTTTGCATACAATTTCTTTTCTCTGAGGGTTTTAAGGATCAAACGAAGATGATTCTCGTGAGCATCTGCAATCTTCGAATAGATGAGAATATCGTCAATAAAAACCACCACAAATTCATCCAAATAGGGCTTGAAAACACGGTTCATCAAATCCATAAAAGCTGCTGGTGCATTAGTGACTTCGAAGGGCATAACTAAAAATTCATAATGACCATATCGGGTTCGAAAAGCTGTCTTCTCAACATCATCAGCCTTGACCTTTAATGGATGGTATCCAGACCGTAGATCAATCGTGGAAAAGACTTGTGCGCCCTGCAGCTGATCAAATAGGTCATCAATTCTCGGCAATGGATACTTATTCTTGATTGTGACTTTATTAAGTTCCCTGTAGTCGATACAAAGCCGGAGTGTTCCATCCTTCTTCTTTACAAACAGTACTGGTGCACCCCACGGAGACACACTCGGACGGATGAATCCCTTGTCCAATAAATCTTGCAACTGCATTTTCAATTCCTTCATCTCAACTGGCGACATTCTATACGGAGTCTTCGAAATGGGTTGGGTTCCCGATGCTACTTCAATGGTAAACTCAATTTCACGGTCTATCAACTGCCCTGGCAATTCTTCAGGAAAGACATCCGGAAATTCACACACAATTGGGATCATGTCGATATTTCCATTCACCTGCCCCTCCAAAACACTGCATAAATACCCCTGACACCCTTTTTGAATTAATTTACAAGCCTTCACTGCCGAGATCAAATAAGTTGGAGAAATTACGCCATGCCCCTGCAAGGTAGACTCTAATTGTCCCGGAGGGTGGAAACTGATTTGTTTAGTTAGACAATCTATAGTTGCACCATATTCACCCAACCAGTCCATTCCCAAAATAATATCAAAATAGGTCATGTCAAGAGGTAACAGATTGGCGTATACCCGGACATTCCCAAGCTCGAGTTCACAACCAAAATAGACAGAAGTGCAAAACATAGAGTCTCCCATATGTGAAGACACACATAACATATAAGACAGTGTTTCCTCAGTTTTATCTAAGTTTTGTGCAAATAATTTTGACACGAAGGAATGAGTAGAGCCAGAGTCAAATAAGACAGAAGCAGAATGACCGTGAACCATAAATGTACCTAACACCACTATTGCTACATTCTGCACATCTTCTGGAACCAATGCAAACACTCTGCCTTGTCTCGCTGTGTCTTTATTATTAGTAGATTTAGCAGCTGACTTGGTGTTGGCAGTTGGTGCAGACCCCGCTGAACTGGTAGCAGCCCTATCGCCATTTCGTTGATTTCTTTGAGGGCAATCCTTTATCAAATGACCCATTTTGCCACACTGATAACAGGCTCCAGACTTCCATTAGCATGTCCCACGATGCCTCTTTCCACATTCCGAACAAGCAGGAATCGTACCTTGACTAGGGGCAGAAGTATTTGAAGTCCCTAAATTTTGTTTCTTGTCTGGTGGAATACTTGGCCCCTTTGACCATTGATTATTCAGCCTTTTTCCTTTCCACTCGGTGATCCGATTCTGAGCAGCAAGGTTTTCCTCAGCTATAACAGCCCTCTCCAGTATGTCTACATAGGTAGGTAACTTCAACATATTGACTCGATCCAAAATTGTTCCCTGTAATCCCCCTTCAAATTTCCGTGCCTTCTTGTAGTCCGTGTCCACCATGTGCGGTGCAAACCGGGCTAACTCTGCAAATTGGGCCTCATATTCAGCAACAGTCTTGTTCCCTTGTCTGAGAGTTTCGAATTCAGTCACCTTTTTATCCCGCATGCTTTGAAGGAAATATTTATCATAAAACAGCTCCAGAAATCTGTCCCATGTTAACCCTGGATGGATTGTTCTCGTAAGAATCCACCATCTCCGGGCCTCGTCCTCAAGAGTGAAGGCAACTAGTTGCACCTTTTGAGCTTCGGTACAAGGGAAAACTTCGAATAACTTCTCTATTCCCAACACCCAGGCTTCAGCTTTCATTGGCTCTATTCCCCCTTTGAAAGACGGCGGTTTCATCTTTTTAAACTCCTTAGTAAGGGTAATAGTCCGGTCTTCAGCATGAAAATCTTGTGCTGCTGGTGGAGGTACCGGTAGCGGTGGCGGCTGTTGTTGAGGCAGTTGCTGTTGTTGACGTAGAGTCTCCGCCATTTCCATAATCATCCTCTCCATCCTATCCAGTCGTGCTGAGGTAGCATCTTCCACATCTTCTGTCCTTGTTCTCACCATGACCTACACAACAGTCAATTATATACAATAGACATAGTTCAAAATTGTTAACATTATCAGAGTACACGTAATGTTGCCATTGAACTTGTCTTATACTTTTAGGATGTCATGCATGATGTCTAAATCTTTTCTAGACACCCTACAACTCAATCGATCCGTGTGTGAGATAGAAACTCGTGCTCTGATACCACTTGTCACACCCCAAACCTGCCCCTAAAAGTTTGGGCATGACCTATTCAGAAACGGACGTATAACCTGGTATACATAACCTACGGGGCCTTATCGGAAGCATAAAATACAAACATAATATAGATACAAACTACTCCATTGAGCTATTTCTAATATGCCAGGATCTCATACATCACATACACCATCAAAGGCGAACAAAGTTTAAAACTATATCCCTGGACATCGGTTATATCCGCATACATTTATAGTTCCTACCCCATGATTGGCCGTATACAAAAAAAACATGAAGTTATGTACATCAACCTTAGATGGACGCTTAAATAGCAAGCCAACATCATAACAACTTCACAAAATGAATGGCTTTGTATAGTGCCTGAACACGTAAAGGTTGACAAAAGAAGACGGCATCAAGGCTAAGACTGACCTCCGGATTGATGACCTACAGAAATAGACATAATAGAGAGTGAGCTAGGCTCAGTGAATAGTAATACATAATAAATGATGTTTAACTTGAAACATGAAATACATCAATACATAATAAGATGAGGAGTTCACACGGTGAGTCTGATTCTATGTTAAGTACATAATGGCCTTAGGCCTAATCCTGCAACATAAGCATGTGGCTATAAGCCCTTGAAACGTGATGACACGAGGCCCTTAAAACATGTGGCATGAGGCCCTTGAAACATGTGGCACGAGGCCCTTGAAACATATGGCATGAGGCCCTTGAAACATGCTTGAAACTTATGGCACTCGACCCTTGAAACATATGGCACGAGGCCCTTGAAACATATGGCACGAGGCCCCTGAAACATGCTTGAAACTTATGGGAGTAGGCAAAATGTTCACCTTCTCATCATCATGCATTAATATTAAGAACATTCATACATTAACATTAAGAACATTCATGCATTAACATTAAGAACATGTGCATAATTATCATCAATAGAATGCTAAGGGCAATCATTATCTGTAGTAAAGCGTACTACTACTCACAGGGTTGAGATGACGTGTTACTTCCTCCCGGAGTGTGTCCTGCACACATTAAAACTTGCACATTAGCTCCCTTCTCTTTCTTAAGTCATTCCCGGAGTCATTACACTTTGCATGAATGTACAACTATCTTAAAATCATGAGAAAAATATTCTAAAAATACCAGTGAGTCAAGCATGCAAAACGAAGCGAGCCATGTTTCCAGCCCAGTCCGCACGTGCGGCCGGACCCTCCGCTCGAGGGGCCATGCACCGCACGTGCGGTCACACCCCTCCGCTCAAGCTGCCGTAGAGAGTAGCCATCTCCAGGTTTTTCTTCTTTCTCCTCTCGAGCGCCCAAGGCCTCCGCTCGAGCGGCCATGGCCCTGTTTTTGGGCAGCTCGGTTTCAACTCACAATTACACATCACCACTTCATTTTGCATGCAATTCACTATGAAATTCATGCAATATATGGACCCAACTTCACTATAACATGAATTACCAATTGAATATCACAAAGTAACATGATTCAAAGCTTGATCAAGTCACTATTTTTTTTTTTCCAATTTCCATCCTTTAACTTAAGTTATTCATGTTCATAAATCATAACACATGGTACATGGCATAAAACCAAGGATTCAAGTATAAATTTCACCATAGCATGTACTAGAACTTGAGCATCCTAAGATACGCATAAGAAGAAGCTTATTCAAGTTACAAACCTTCTAAATTCCATCTTTAATTCAAGTTCCTGAAGTTTATTAAAACATCACACATTATATAAATATATTTTCATGAGTTTAACAAGAGAAACAAAGATTGAGGCATAATTTCATGTCAAAACAACCAATTGATGAGTATCCTCTTCAAGCAAACATAAATCATGAACAATTCTCCATAACCCTAAATCACCAAACATAAATCATAAACAAGCCCTTCTTCACAATTAAAAGGAGAAGTTTCATGTACAATAATTTTTAATATACCTTAAGCTTGAAAAATTCAATGATTCTCCTAACTTGATCCCAATTCTCTTCCTTGTTGTACCTTGTCTTTGTTCTCTTTTTCTCTTCTTTTCAAACCCTTATTCTCTCCAAAAGATGCTTCACGTTTTTTATCAAAGCTCAAGAGAACTTAAGTATATATATTTATAAATAATGGCATATAGGACAAAATTTAATCATTTAATCATTCCAAAATTGAAATTTCGTAAACATGCTTAATATTACTTAAAAATTATGCTGATCACAAATATATTATCAATTTCAGATAATTAAGCCGTTAAGGCTTCCAATTTCTAATTCAAACGTTTTAGTGGTGACAGATAGTTTTCTTAAGAAACAGATAGACATCCATAAACATAAATTTCACTTGCTTAATCATAATTTTTCATGGAATTTTACAGTAAGCATTTAAAAGTACCAATCGAGGACCGAGAATATAACAGAAATCATGTGCGAGGGTCGGGTTATTACAGGTTCAAAGTGGAGAAGTTATTAGTGAGTCTTCGGCATTGTTATGTAATATCTTAATAATATTCTGATTAGTAATGGGGTGGAGTCTAAAAATTTATACTAGATAATTAAGAAATATGAAAAGATATAATAAATTATGATTGGTGTAAGTTATAATCAGGGGACTCCTAAGACCAACTAATAAATTTTCTTCAAAGCGTGTGAGGATCTTCGATGACAATTTAATTCCATTATATAAACACTTAAAAAGATCACATATTTTTTTTAGTTATTATTTTTTATAATTTTCTTAACAAATATGAAATTTATTAAGGGACTTACGTATAAATCCTAATAAATAAACTTATTATCTCATAAGTGCAATAATAATTAATGCATTTTTCATCAAACACTATTAAAAAAGTCACTAATTGTTAATTTTCAGTAATAGTTTAAAATTTTCGTCACAAAAAATATCATTAATTATAAGTTTTAACAATAATTTAAAAAATTATCACAAAAAAAGTCATTAATTTTCAACTTTCATCAATAATTTGAAAATTTTGTTACAAAAAAAGTCACTAATTATAAGTTTTAGCGACAATTTATAAATAATATGAGCAAAAAAAGTCACTAATTGTAAATTTTTAGCGACATACAAAAAACTAATTAAAAAAATTAGCAATAATTTTATTAGGACTTATTTTCAATAGAATTTGATGGCAATTAAGTCCAACTATTAGGATCTATTAATACTTTATCCAAATTTTTATTAAAATAGTCATTTTTAGACATTTAATCGCATCACAAAATAAATATGAGATACACATCATGTCCAACTAAATAGTCCTTAATAATCCATTGGATTACAATGCCTCCATATCCAATCCGTCCAAACAAATAAGGTCTAAGTGCTAAGAAAAAATTAATAAGTATTTCAAGTGTCACACCCTAACTTTTATTAGTTGAATCTATTACCAAATCCTTTTATCTCAGGTCCAGTTTAAGTAAATTCAAACATACATAGACATAAATAAAGAATTAATACTAACATTCTCTCTCGCTAATGATGATGATATATAAATCAAATTTGATACAACGTCCTCAGGCTTATATTGAATATTAATAAAAAAAAAAGGAATTTACTCTTATACAAGACACGACATTTAGCTAACATAATAAAAGGCCTTGTGGCTAGCAAAAAAACGACTTCAAGTCTTGAACAAATCCTCGAGCCATGTACCTAAAAAATTTGTCAACATGTGGGATGAGTACAAAGTCCAGTAGAAATCCCAAAGATCCTAACCAATCACAACATATAGATAGATATGATCATGCATGCACCACGACATACCATATAGGTAATGTGGCAGTTTATATCCAAAAATATGTACTTACATAAATATAGTTTCTCAAAATTTCCTTTTTGACACAACACAATGTAAACCACTTCTTCTCTTTCTAACTTCCATTTTACTTTCAGAAACATTTCAAAATCCCGTTTCTTTTTAATAAAAACCTTCACGGTTCACATAAAATAATTTGTAACGCCCCGAAATAATTACTATAGCCCATACTCAACATCAAAGGTGATCACAACGATAAAGTAGTTATCTTTCATTGATTTACAATTAAGCTTTACAAAAAAGTGATATAATAAAAATACAAGATAAAAGTTAAACAAATAAGAAATGCCCTAAAGGCTTACATCTTTCCAAGACAATACTTGGTTACAACAAAAGTGGATTTAAGTTCAATATAGTTAAAGCCCTTCACTTGAATAAAACTAAATACATTAAATACACAAAAGAAGCTCTCGCTCCAAATCCTTCCAAGCTATTGCCTTGGCAGAGGCATATCATCAGCACCTGAAATGTTTTTCCCACATAGGGTGAGCCAAAGCCCAATAGAAATAATCCAACACAGTATATGAATCTTAACAAAGTTATAAGGTGTATACATATGCAATGCTCGTGCCAAAACCTTTTTTGTTTCTTTCCAAAACCATGCAATGCCATGTTAATATCATGGTCCATAAATCAACTGTCTTTTACAATAGAAACTAGGGTAGTGAATCACAGTCTAGGAATTTTAACATAACACAAAATTTCTCAAAAATTTCGTCTGGAGGAAACCGTAAACCGAGACCCATGTAAACGTAAGCTATACAAGCACTACTATTGCCATTTCACAGAAATTTCGTCCGCGGGATCGGCACGTATGTATACGTGGGATTTTCAGAACATTCACCATGTACACACAAGCCAACTTATTTGATATAACAACAACTCATTCCCAAATTCACCAATTTTCTCAAAACAGTAACATTTCCAATGTATAAGTGCGAGATAATGCTCAATGCAAATGAATGAGAAAAATAGTTTC